CTCTCTCTCATTTTGAATTAATATTTTTGAGTTAATATTTTTATTGTTTGTTAGGCTTATTGGATTATTGCATGTATTGAAAATAAATTATTTTTTGTACGCAAAAAATATAAAATTATTTTTATTCTTTTAGTTCTTTTACTAAGCAAAACGAGCCAGCATAATCCAATAAATTCATCTAACATACTCTTTCAAAAATAAAAAATTTCATATTTATCTCCTACTTTAGATCATATATATTCTCCTCCCTTGATCTCGTTGTGAAAAATTTAAACTTTTAGCATTTGATTCAGGGTTCAAGTTCGACAAATTATGTTTCAATAACATTCTTATCATGACTAGCCCACCCACTAAAATGTAGGGTAAATAAACATTGGGTGGCCCCACTAGGGTATACAGGCCTTGGCCTATCCCTTATTTTATTTCTTAAACTTTCAATGTAACTTCTTGTACTAAAAATTTAGGAATATTATTGTATGATATCAAAAAAAAAAAAAAAACTATAATACTTTGTAAATAAGTCAACTCATGGGCGAAGAATCTCACTCTTAGCCTTAACACGAGCCAAAGTTGAAACCCACGGGCCAAAAAGCTGGCCAACTCTTAAATTTTTTGGGTTGGGCCAATTATTAGATGATCGGCCCACAAACATTAACTAAAGTATTTTTGGTAAAATTGAAAAAAAAAATACAAAACTTAACTCCATAGGATAGAAAAATTTGGTAAAATTGACATTTATTATTCGTTTGGTACGATAGAAAAATAGAAGTATAAAAAGTTAGAAGAATAGAAATTTAGAGATATAGATAAAACATTATTTGTTAAAAAAAGAAAATAAGACAGATAAAAAAGTTGATAAATTAACTTTCTTTTCGACTCACCACAATCAATCACTCCAAAATTGAGAAAAAAATTAGATGAAAAAGTAATTATGTGTGTTGAAATATATGTATTTTGTCTATATATCTTTTGATATATACATATATCATATTTATTAATAACATATTATGTATTTATATATTTTTTTTAAAAATAAAATTAAAATGTTAAAAAATATTTTTAAAAAAATTATCTTATCAAACACAAAAAAATTAATCCTTCATACTTTTCATTTTTCGTATCACTCTAATTTTTCATACTTTTATTTGTTTTATCTACCCTACCAAACCGACAATTATCTCTAAGGGGAGAAAAAGTCGATCACATAACCCTAAGAGGTAGTTTAAGTGGTAACTGGGACAAACTATAAACTCAGATGTCATGACTTCAAATTTTTGTAACCCCTTAGGACGAGGTCCCTAGTGATCATTTTAGTTCTGACATAAATGATTTGATTTTAATTAAGAGTAATGGTAGATGAATTTAAAAATAAGACTTGATAATCTCAATCATTGAATAGGTAGTGAGTTCTAATAAATGTTGAAACTCACAATGAAACAAATGGTTAAGATTATGAAGTCTAATTTTTAAGTTTATTTTTTAAGTCCATCTAGCATTGCTCTTTAACTTAATCAAAAATAAATTAATTAAAACATACGTGAAATGACTTAAACACACCTTATCATTAAATAAAATACAAACAACGTCGGTCACATAAAAACAATGTCGGAAGCTTTGTAGTACTTTTTCCATAAACCATTTATTAGTGAAGTTTGACACCTCTGTACCCCAAAAAATTAGTGGGTCTTATTAAATAAAGACCCTACATCTATGAATAGATTTTAAATGACCCTCTTTTTCCTCGAAGTTTGTCGGTTGACGTCTCCAATGACCACAAATAGTAGCTACGCTCGTGCATTGAAAACCTTGTTTTGGGTTAATTATAATTCATCCGTTCTTAAATATATGTCGAGATCAAAAAAATTATTAAATAATTCTAATATGAATAAAAAATAATTACATAAGACTAAAATACTCTTATTCAATATATATTGGAAAGGAAAAGAATATGAAAGACACTTACTCTTCACCTAATCTAATGTATTGAAAAGTTAAAGATAAATTTGGAAGAAAAAATATTAATTATGCTTTGGGTTCATAAAATAACAGATATTATGGAACAAAAAAAATTATTTAAAACGACAGAAATTTAGGAGCGGAGAGAGTAAGAAGTTTCCTTGAATTTATGTTTCGTTTGATATGATAAAAAAATAAAAGAATGAAAATTTAGAATGATGGATAGTTAGAGAGATAAATAAAATATCATATTTGGTAAGGAAGAAAAATAAAAAAGATGAAAAAGTAGATGAATTAACTTTCCTTCCAACTCACTAAAATCAATCCCTAAAAAATCGGAAATAAAGTGGATGAAAAGTTAATTATTTGTACTGAAATATATTTTATTTGTCTATATATTATGTATACATTAATTTCATATAAAAATACAATGATAATATATATATTAAAAAAATTAAAAATTTAAATTAAAAAATATATATATTTTTTTTTATCTTAACTAAGGGTGAAAAATTTTGATACAACACGATGACACGACTCGAATTCGACACGAATTTTATGACACGAACTTGATTATAACTCGACAAGAACTTGAAAAAGACCTGACACGCGAACGAAAAATATAAAAAACTTATAATTTTATGACTCAACATGAATTTGACATGACGCGACTTGATTGTCACCCCTAATATTAGACAAAAAAAATTAAAAAAAATTAGTTATTTTTATTTTCTATCCATCCAATTAAACACAAATGAATGAAAGTGTATCATTTTTACTTTCCATCCCTGAAGGATAAAAATTTATCCCTCATACTTTTCATCATTCCTACCAAACCAAGCATTAGAGTCAATTGAACATCACATATCTTAACTGTTTAAAGGTTTTTTTTTTAATTTTATAATTAACCCTCTTATTTTTAGGTATGTTTTAAAAAATGTAACCACTAACAATTATTATAAGTCTCATACATTATTATTATTGTCAAAGTCTGAATGAATTACTATCTCAAAAGAGAAACAAAATATAACATTCAAAGAGGAACTTAAAATCTTCAACCTTAAAAACATTATTCTGAAACCAATCAATTTAATTTTCACTTTTATTTCACATCTCCTAGGTTAACTAATTACTTAGACTTAAGTTTCAAAACTATGAGAGATAATAGTTCAAAATGCACACACATATGAAGCACATCTCAATGCTAAAATCCTCAATCAATTGCACTTAAGTTAATAAATTAGTTTTGAATTTCAAATAGTAGAAGCAGCATAACTTAAGTATCAATAATACAAAACTCAAATAAGTAGTTCAAGTAATAATAGAGATGAATTGTAAATTCAAATATCTTGCGTTCGAATTTTGACAATTTTTCAAAATTGTGTTTGAATTTTGACAACTTCTTAAAATCAGGTCATGAAAAATTTATCTCTCATAAATTTCATTGTCTTGGTATGGATGATTTGTTTTTGACCAGACTAGAGTGAAAACTAGTTAAGGTGAGAATAAGTCAGCTCGGATAGGGGATGTGCATAAGCTTACTTAGACACCCCTGATCATTTGAATAAAAAGAAAAGCCCTATAATACATGTTCAAATAAACGTGATTCGATAACCGTACTTATATTGGTAGATCATACATACATTCATGGCTCAAAAAATTACATCGATGTATTATTTATTAAAAATTTGTATAATACTCAATCCTATTTATAATAATAAAATATTTTCACTCAAATCTATTCATGTATAACTTGATTTCTATATTTCATATAACATGTCTAATATAACTATTCAAGGTGTATTAGAACTCTTGCAATTTATTTTTTATTTGATTTAATCACTAATAAACCTATTAACGTATATTATGATTTTTCCAATTTTTTTCATATTCCATCTAGATTTTCACATGTAATGTCCCAACAAAAGCCTTGGGATCGATCCTAATTCAATACAATAACGTTGTAATTTATCAATTCGAGTCATAACTTGATTTAATAGGATTATAGTATTTATATGATATCATAAGAAATCCCAATGTATCATACTGCAAAAGTAATCCAACTTTACTAAAATAAAACATAATAACATAATTATTTGGATCATGTAATAATGTTTGTTGGATTAAATTGACACTAAACTTCATCCAATATTGGTTAGAAATTATTAATAATTAATTAAATTCATAAATTTGATGGAAATAGCATGAGTTCATGGGTCATGTAAAAGTGTCAATCTCAAAAGTAAATGAATCGAGATTACGTGCCTTCCCCGTCACTCAAGTAAGTACACCCCCCCCCCCCCCCCCGCCAAATAACCTTAATAAGTTCCATAACCTTCCAAATATGGAGGCCCCAAGACGAAGTTTCCTTAGCCCAAAAAATAAAAAATTAAAGTGAAAAATAATATATTGAGGAAAAAATAGAGAAATAAAATTATGAGTAAATACTATAGTTGGTCCCAAATTTTTTTTTTAATTTTAATTTAGTCTCTGAACTTTTAATTGTCTTAATTTACTCAATCAATTATCAATTTCATCTGAATGAAGTTCTTTTCATTAATTTTTATTGCTAGATTAAAATAAAAATATATAATTTAATACTTAAAATAGATCATATTGGGTACGTGACAATAGAGCAGGATGAGCAGGTTGACATTTTGCGTCCACATATATGAATTTGAGAGTAAAGAGCTCGCTGGTTGTACGAGATTCGAGGCATGCACTAGAGCCGAACAATATTCTATTCTTTCTGACGGCATCATTTTTCGTTGGAGGCAGTGGAGTGCCACAATTTTATTCATTATTTTTTATCTACATAATCCAAAGCCATCGATTGATCTATCCGTGAAAATAGATGAAAGAACTTAATTAAAATAAAATTGATAATTGATGATTAATTTTAAATAATAAAAAATTTAGAGATCAAATTAAAACTAAAAATAAAATTTTAAGGCGACTAATGATATTAGAAGCTAACCTGGTCTTTTATTTTTTTGGCTGGTGGACCTGGTCTTTAATTGCGTGAACTGAATGCGACCAAAAAGCCACCTCCTCTCTCTCTCTCTCTCTTTGTGCCTTCTCTCTGCCTACAAAATATGAGAATGCTTCTCTACGTTTCTTGCAACTTCTTCTTCTTCCTCTTCCTCTTGTTCAAAGTTTCCGACTTTTTCACTGCTAAGCTAATTCTAATTTGAAAATCAAGGATCTGAGGGTTGATAAAGTACTCGAAGTTGGTCTTTGGTTGACATTTTATTTGAATTTTTTTATCAACCAGAGAGAGAAAATAGAGAAGAGCTTTGCTGTTTAGAGCTATATTCCTATCAGGTGTTATTCATTGATTTTACCTCAAATAAGTTGTTTGATCCATTAATTTTAGCTAGGCTGAGGTGGGTTTCCTCCCTTATCTCTTCTAAATATTTTTTATTTTGATTTTCCCAAACCTGATATTTTGCATACAAATGTATATGTGTGTTTGTATGTTATTTTGAGACATTGTTTTGATTCTCATTCTCTGTAATGATTTTGTTCTTTCTCTTTCCTTTAATTGAAAATTCATACTGAATGCTTTCGGTATGTTGCATGGCATTTGGGTTCTGGGCTTCGGTCTATTTTGATAGTTATGCTGTTCAAGATTTGATTTTGACAAAGAATTGTTTGAATATTTGAGGGTTTTTGTTATCAATATAATCTCTGCTCCTTTTCTCTATTAAAATTAAGGCATTATATTTTTATGGAAGATCTTGATATTGGGTATATGTGATCTGATCACTTTCTCATTATGGGCCTGGAAACAGGTTGAATCTTGAGTTGAAGGAATACTTTTCTCTATGGTGAGTTGGTAGAATAATTTCTTATTTTATATTGCAATAAAATATACTTATTAGAAAATCTAAACTTTGCTACTTTGGGGAAAAAGCAATTTGAAAATAGATGGATCAAAAATTGTTGTTTTGTTGTATCTAATTTTCATGGGACTGGTGTAATTAGGGGGAAGCTCCAGCCTTTTTTGATGATCTTCAAAGGGATTTCTCAAATGGGTTTGATTTGAAATCCAAAGGCCGCCAAACAGCTACCACCATCGGCAGCAAAACAGTAAGATGGTCTAATATACTGATATGATCTTGTCCTATTTTTCTTCTTTACTGATCAACTAAGACAATTATATTTACCTTCAAGTGTTCCGTGTCCTTAATTTTATCAGTATGTGATTGATGGTACGGACGGTGAATCAATTGGAGTGCAGATTTTCAACAGATCTACGGGTGAATTGTGAGTTTTCTAGTCTAGTTATGTTATTGCTGCGATTGTATTCCAGTTTAATAAATGAATTACCATTATCTAATTAAACTTGCAGGGTGATTCCTGCTGTGTTGGGAACAAAACCCAAGCTGTTTAAGGGTCATTCAGCTGTGCTTGTGGATGACGACCGGATATTGGTTCTTAAAGGGAATTCGAGCTCTGATGACTTCACTTGGTTTCTTGAGGTTGGTATTTCTTGGACTAAAAAAATTGATCAGTTTAGATCTTACCTTTAGTGACTTCATTAATTGACCATAAACGAATGGTTTTTCTTGTTGGAATGTCACTATCCTGCATGGATGATTTTCGTTTGAGTTTCCTATGTTGATGTATTCCTTATGGTGCAAGCTTTGTTCCTTGTTTTGCAGGTGGACACCCCATTTGTAAGAGAGCAGAAAAAGAATTTTGAATCTGAGGTGGTTGCATGGAGTAAGGGGGTTACTGGTAATGCTGAGAAACCCATTGTTATCAGTGGTCCTTCTGGAGTAGGTAAGGGTACATTGATATCCAAACTAATGGAAGAATTTCCGGACATGTTTGGATTTTCTGTGAGCCACACAACCCGTGCTCCAAGGAACATGGAGATGAATGGGGTCCATTACCATTTCACTGAGCGAAATGTTATGCAGAAAGATATAAAGGATGGGAAGTTCCTTGAGTTTGCTGCTGTTCATGGAAATCTTTATGGAACCAGTGTAGAAGCCGTTGAGGTGGTTGCAGATGCAGGGAAGGTAAATATTTCATATTTTTGTAGGTTTCCTATGTGTTTGTTTTTTAATACAAAAAGGTGAAAAGATGTCAATTTTGAGCACAAATTGCATGTGTGCAAAGTTCCACAGCATCTAAATTGATTTCCTCTAAGATGTATTTAATTTGAGAACAGAGATTCTGAAAAGGTGAGTGAATTAAGCAGTCCAATGGATCCAAACATCACTACTCTTTAGAAACACTGACAATCCGAAACATTGGTGGAATTTTTAGTTTCAATTGATTGTTACATGAATGGGATCAACTCAACTCAAGGAACCTCCCTAATAGATGCTGACATAGGTGCTAGGATTTATCATGGATCTGAGAGGTGAAATACCAAATCAGCAAGGTGCACTGCCCACTTCACGTTTCTATAATATGTTGAGTTCCCGAAAATTGCATGGCCAACTGAAATTATTGTATAATAAGATTGGGTTCTCTTGGGGATCCTATCTCAGGGCAGGGAATGAAAATTATTGTGCAACTAGGGATTGCTGAGCGGGTTGACATGGCTTAATAAAGGTCTTCAATGGCCATATTCTTATGTAGGTTTTGGTTTTTTTTTTCCCCTCCCTTGGGAGTTCACATATTCAATGGATGCTTTTGCATTGTGTGGTGCATGATTATGAGCATCAAGTTTATGACATCCTTTACATGTAATGAAATTTTTTTATTTTGCAAACTTTAAAATAGTTAGTATGATTTTATGTAGAGATGCATCCTTGACATTGATGTTCAAGGAGCAAGGTCTGTGAGGACTAGGTCTCTTGAAGCAATTTTTATCTTTATCTGCCCTCCCTCATTTGAGGAGCTGGAGAAGCGCCTTCGTGCAAGGTGAGCTAAATATAGAGATTTGGAACCATCTTGCCCCTGTGTTTCCCTTTATTAATGTCGTCAATTTTGTGAACCAGGGCTACCGAGTCGGAGGAACAGATCCAAAAGCGTCTTCGAAATGCTAGGGCAGAACTTGAACAAGGAAACTCTCCTGGCGTTTTTGATCATATCTTGGTAAATGATGACCTTGAGACTTGTTATGACAGCCTTAAGGTAATAATTACCACTTCCTGTTTATCTCTCCATGCATCTTAGGTCCTTTGTTTTTGTTATTATTTTGTATATTCGACCATTCTTACATAACATCTTCCATTTGATGTAGAAACTGTTGGGTCTTAATGAAGGCCTAGAATCTATCCTTAAACCATGTACGTTTTCCCTCAATGGCATGTGTTTAGTTCATTGGAACTAAACAAAATTTGATCCTGATATACTTTGTTGTACTCCTCTGAAATTGTTTCTGATGGAGCTTTTAAATTTCTTTTCCAGCCCCGAAATTAGTCGACCTCCCCATGGACCATTCAGTATCAAAAATTGATCAGAAGATCCTGATAAATTGTGGCACTGCAGAAGCAGAAAAAGCATCACAGAACTTGTAAGTTATTCTTACAACTATGATTACCTAATAATACCGCCCTGCTGAAAATTTTGACCACCCTGAACCCTTTCATACAGGTGTGTGCTGGATCTATCTTTGATCAAAGGAGGAGCACCGGGACGTACAAGAGGACTGAATGTGTATGCTATCAATCCTTCAGCAAATGGCATAAATGGCGTCAAACAGCTGAGCTAACGCACTACCCTCCACTTGATACTAACTTAATTCCTCGTTATTTTTTTCATTTCCTTCTCTTTTTATTTTCATTTTAAAATAACTGAAAAAGGGATTGGAGCTACTAGTTTAGTTCTTGCAAATATTTGGAGTTTTAACTTGTCATCATTCTTCATTTGAGAATGGAGTTGATTTGGAGATATAGCATTTGATCATATTGCTTCCCATATTTTGAGATGAGAGATGATTTGAATTTTGCATTGCAAATTTAAGTTACTCGAGCGAGAGCGAAATGTATGTTTTCTAGTTTTTCATGTGGAGAATAATCTCAGTTCTGATAAAATTCAATTTGATCCATATTTTATAACAACAGAAATTTGCTTGTGAACCAACTTTTTTTTAAAAAATTTTCCAGCTGAAACATAACGCTTCTAAGAACTGTTGCTGTCTTATTAGCTGATCATATGCGCTGAGCTTGGCTTTTGTTGTAGTCATATGGTCTTCTATGTTGTGAAAAGCAGAAAGAATTGGTTCTTTTGCAATACATGGCACCTAAATATGGATTTGCTAGTCTATGTCAAGCCTTTTGGTCATACCAAATATCTCCTCTCCTTGGACCATGTATAGCTGGAGCTTTTGCTTGTGCCACCAAAAATTGTGGTTGTGTCATGTTTTTATTGGGGGCAGGGGCATGCTACACATTGCGTGTGGAATTTGTATTGGGTCCACCTCCATATTACAGGTTGGTCTTCATGGACAATGAAAGGAGGTATTTCTGTGTGTGTGTGTGTTACTTTTCAATCCCCGTCAACGACCTATAACGCTACTCACTACTTCCAATGGGGTTAGAAATGAAAGGTCACTCACTACTCCCAGTGGGGTTAGAAATGGAATCCGTTTGGGAGGATTGCATTTTCAGTATTCGATCCAAATAGTTCCAAACCTCCATAACAAGCTCACTCTTGATGAATAGGTGATCACTACTTTCTTTATCATGCTCTAAAAACCACAATTTCGTCTACCCCATTTGTATATACACCACATAGTTTCCAAGCGTAGCTCATTGAACTTTCTAACTTCGTTCCGTGACCTGTGTTAAAGAAGCGTGTCTTATTTTGTGTGCTGTCAGATTTACTTGAATTTGAGCTCAAATATAAACTCACATTACAAAAACGAGCTAAATCATACAATAGATAAAAACTAATCATTATTTGAACCGAAATAAATCACCCAAAAATGATACGACACGAATCAATTAACTCTCTCTCTCTCTCCCCCTGTATTTCGTTAGGGTGCCAAAAAAAAAAAAAGAAAAAAGAAAAAAGGAGAGGTGGGGGAGGTTCATTCATAATGGGAAAAGTTTCCAAATCTCTCTTTTTATGGATTTAGCTAATGGGAAAGGAGTGTTGGCTCCAAAGCTATGACCTCAAATAGAAAGCATGGACGATTATGTCGGCCAATTGTGGGAATCTTATTATAGTGTTAATTAGATGAAAGATGTAAAGTTTGCAAGGACAACCAATCAATCTAACATACCACCTTGCTTTTTACTCCATGGCCAAAAGCAAAATCGATTTTCATATTCTTCCATTGGGGAATTTCCATGTCACCATCGATGGTCTTATATATTCTTGGAAGCACTTTTGTGCAGGGACCAATCACTAGTTGGATTTATTGTCTAGGTTGCATAATGAATTTAGATTCTTTTCATTACATTTTTTATTTCATTCATTTTTGTCAGTGATAAATCACTAATTGGGTATTATTGGGCGACTTGTTTATTTTTAGCAGGTGTCTCATGAATTTACGACAACTAATTTATCATTGAAAAAAAAACTTCCAAGTATCTTGGGATATACATAACTGTGATAAATTCACCGCCAAGGAAAACTCTCTTTTTCTTAACCTTTGGAACAAAGGTAATGATTCTAGTTTAGATTAAACTGGAAATCCAGAAGATTTAATATTCTGATGAAATGAATAATGACAAGCAGTTTAGATTCAATCTGAACCGTCTAGAGGAAAAAAGAGAGTTAGCTCATAAGAGTAGTGACTTATTAAAATCAGACAACACGATATTACAACAAGAGAGACAACACAATATTATAACAAGAGAGTTAAGGTTCGATAATTCTCCCAATGGGAACTGGTCCTCCAGAAGAAAACATCAACCACTAAAGACTATAGAAAAGAAAATTTGAACCCAAATTAAAAAAGTTCGTATCAAATCGGCATAATGGTAAGAGGAGAAAGCTATGCGCTCAGAAAAATATAAAAAAGGGGATAATACATCTAAAGGGATTTTCCCAACCTTTTCTCCAATATAGAGCTTGCCCATAAGTGACTAGATTCAGTGGGATCTTTTTACTTCTCCCTGTTGAAATGATGTGAAATTTGAACTCTGCAAGAGGCATGAGATGGTGAACCATTGAAATCTATTTCATCTTGGTTCTATCCTTATTTTCCATAAACACATGAAAACATAAAATGAATCTGGCTGGATAATTTTAATCGAAAGATTTAAAAGGTCAATCAATATCTTAAGATTTTAATTTCAATTTTTATAAAACAATCGTGTTGTATTATTCAATGCACGTCGTCATCTACGGGAAATTTGCATTAACTCAAACTTGGGATTATAATTATTACTCCAAAAAAATACAAAAATTTAGAGAGATAATCAAGATTAGTGCGTGACAACTTGCATTTAGAAAATGATTAGACATTAATGATGGAGACTTTCCCTTTGTCCCTACAAAGTGACCACCAGCCACTGATGCAGCATATTAACTGTGAGCACCGAGCCCACTAGGCAGAAACTGAACCAACTTGCAAGGAACCAATCATGGCTGGCATGGTGGTGGGTGGGACCCAAAAGGGAAATTCAATTAAGACAAGTAGCCTCCCCCTCCTCTGGTGGGCATTAGCTGCTCTTTCTGTAGGCCAGGATAAGCATGAGGCCTTTCACTCTGAGGTCACTTGCAACTGGCCATTTTATTTGCTTTTTTTGTTTGGTTTTGGTCATCAAAGGCCACTAGTTGGCTTGAATTATTCCACATAACATGCCACACTTTGCCGGTATGGATGTACGGAAAAAATGGATCGAATCGAGTCAAGTATTAAATTATTCGAGATTGATTAGTCTCAATCAATTTATTTGAGCTTGACTTGACTCGGGCTTGGTTGGATTTGTCCAACTAAAAATTCGAGTTTAAGTTTGTGATCGAACTTAAATCGGAGCTCGTTCAAGATCAAATTTAACTCGTTTTGTATAGACGAAGAAAAAGTTCAATGATAAATAATTTTATTATTAAAAAAAAAAGTATTAGGGTCGGTTCTAAATTGATGTGAACAGATGAGTTCAATTTGAGGGTGGGGGCTGGGGAGCATTTAAAGTGAAGAATGGAACCGAAGGACTTGCCACTGACAAGTCGGTTGCATGTGCAGATTCTTCTTCCGCTTGAAATTTCGAGCAATTTTCGTGGTGGGGTCTGACAATCCTGGGACTGCAAGTTGGTTCTTTGCAAAGGCCTTTTTCAGTTATTTAAAGTTTCAACTTCTCTTATTGAAGGGCTGGCTTAATTTGGGAAAAGTCAAAAAATAGGTAGCTATAGAATTCATGAAACTAATGACAATTAGACATATACACACTCACATTTTATTTTTTTAACGTGAATATGTGTTAAGTTTAAATACAAAACGACAGCAATAAGCCCGGGTTAGTTTCAGGTAGGTCTATCGACGGATTAAATTTTTTTGATACATTAAAAATGTAATATAAAATTTAATTTTTAAGAGTATAAAATAAAAAAAAAAAAATTCATTTACACTCACTGTAATTAAGTTTAAATTCAATGACACCCTTTACAGATTTTGAAACTTCACTGTCACCCCTTGTCAGTGTTTGTCGAGTTATGGCGTTAACGGTAATTGTTAATTTACAGAAATACCCTTAAATATTTTATAAGATAAATTTTATTCACAACCCTTATAAATCAACATAACTTTAATGATACTCCCTATAAATAGACATATCTTTAACAATACTCCCTCCCGATTATAAAATTTCTATTCACTCCGTTTTAATTTTATTATATTAACATATAGGTTCATCAATTTAATATTTAAGTTTATCAAATTAATGTCATTTATTTAATTTAAACTAAATTAACAATGCATCTCATCAAATTAACACAAATTGATATTTAATTTTATTAAATTAGCATTTATTTATATTAATTTAATAAATTATTTCATCAAATTAATAGTATTTCTTTAATTTAACGTTAAATTATTATTTAATTTCATTAAATCAACACCAAATTGACATTTAATTTTATTAAATTAAAATTTAATATATTAAATTTCATTAATTTAACATTTATCCTTATCAAATTAATGTCAGTTATTTAATTTAATACTAAATAAACATTCAATTTCGTTAAAACAACATTTAAATTTATTTAATTAATATTAAATTTTATCAAATCAACACTAAATATGAATATCAAATTAACACCAAAAAAATATTTAAATTTATTCAATTATTATAAATTTTATAATAATATTTAAATTTTATTTATGATTGGTTATGGGTGAAGAGTGGTGAGATGATGTGGAGGACAAAAGATAGGAAAAAAGTTAGAAATGAATGAGATTTGGACATAGACATTAATCTCAGTCTCAACCAACAGTTGAAGAAGACATCAATTCTACAATAATAACATCACAACATATTGACATAACAAAATGGAAGAAAAAAATTTAAAAATTGTGCAAGAACAAAATAAAAAAAAAAATTGCATTAAAAAAATTTAAAAATTGCGAGAATTTTTTTTTTTACTAACTTCTGTAATGATCGATCACTGTGGAGAAAGAATTAAAGAAGAATGACCGGCTTCAGTCTCTTATGTCTTCTAATAACACTAGATCTTTTTTGACATCTAGCAACAATAAAGGGTATGGTATTTATAGTAAAAAAAAGGGTTGAAGGCATTTTATTATATTTACATAAGGAAGAGTAGTTTTGACATTTTCAAAAAATTTATAATCAAATTATTATATTTATACTGACATAGTTAAAAATTACTGTTAAGGTAGTGCTTTTGATCCTTTTACCAGAAAGATGTGTAGTAAAGTTTCGGAAGGAAGGAGGTGTCATTGAATTTAGATTTAACTAGAGGGAGTGTAGATGAAATTTTTTCATAAAAATATTATAATCTTTCAGGGTACAAAGTACAAAAAATCTATTTATATATATATATATATATATATTAAATGCTTAAATAACACATTATTTTTTAATACTTCAATATAAACTTGGATCGAACTCAGGTTAAACTCGTGAACCCACAGCCTCAATCTAAACCGT